TATTGATAGAGAGGACGAAAACATATCAATAGTACTGTTACTTCAAATTTAAGTAAAAAGTTGAAACCGGATTATCAATGGTTCGTACGATTAGTGCATTGAATGCAGAATTTCGGAACCAATTGTCACACAAAAGAGGAATTCATCAAAAAATAGCCGTTTGAATGGCTTCTATGGCTTAAGATGTGACCCTTTTATAGGCTTAACCATTGATTCTGTTTCTATTTTTTGCGATCACAACCACTACTACTGGTCTCCTCTTCTACCTCCTTATCCACCGGAGCTCATGTGTGTCTCATATCCTGACCACCCTTCGAGTCTGTCTCTATTTAATATCCAACTGTTATCAACGCCTGTCAGTCAACACAACTTTTTTTTATAAAAACAGGACATCTTTTTACTATTTTTGTGTAATTTTTACTTTTTTCTATTAAAATATATACAATTTAATTGAAATGAAAAGCAAGAAAAGTATTGATTATTAAGGAGAAAGTTTATTGTGAATAATACGAGACACGTGTCCCTCTATTAATAGAGTTAGTTCTGCAAGTCTTCAGACATTACAACACATTTAGACATTCATTGTATGGGAGAAGCGAGCGCTCGGCCGCACCTCATCGGTACCGCCTGTACTGAACGGCAATACATGGCTTTCCGTGCCATTAATGACATCTCGATNATATTATTCAATGGAATACAATATCAATAATATATCAGTTTGTCATATGTTTAGTCATTGGTATATTTGTGCTGACCATGGTCTTTTGGCTGGTTATTGAGATTGTTCATTTAAGGGACCGGTAAGTGCTGTTTACCTTGACATCATTAATATATTATAAATTTATAATTGTACATAATAATTTATAAATTAAATCACGCACCAGTTAGTTCTATATAAACAGTTATAAATCAAACAACTAGCTTAATCAAATAATAATTATTCTATGATTACATTATTCGAATACATATGATTTAAAATAACATAGTTTTACATAAATATATAATTGTTTAAGTTTAAGTTACATGTATAATTATGGTTTGTAACTATATTTAGTTTAAATAAATATGTTATTGGTAATATTAATTAACACGTGGTATTTTAATTATAGCAAAATATTACATATTGAGCTCCAGAAGAATAAAATGGATGGCGTTATAGATGTGCAACGATTGGCTGATATAAATAATAAAAATCTTGGTAGTAGTAATCAGTCGGCTAGTAAACCATTATTAATTAGTAATAAATTAAATAATAATGACCATGATATCAAGCTGGAAATAATCAGTGAGGCTAGTGATTCCGAAGCAGAGACCAAGGGTTAATGAAAACACAACTTGGTGTGATTATTTTCTAATTTTACATGTCAAATATACATTTATGTATATATTGGTTATAATGTATTTGTTATAAACATTTTGCAATATTAAACAGCGAAAGAGAGAGAGAGAGAGAGAGAGAGAGAGAGAGGACAGAACGTTGTGAGACGTAACGATGATTTCGACCCACTTCTCACTCAGAGTCCTTCACTTATGGACTCTTTATTATGAACGGCGAGTCCTCTCACTGTCTGAATGACCCAACTTTTACGGCATTATATATACCGTACAAACGATTCTTCAATCACTTGTAGTATTTTTCTTCAATATATTGAGTATTTTTTACACGAAAAATAGACTCAATTTCTATTCATTTTTTCCGTTCTATTTATGAATCGTTACAAACCATACAAAGTGTTGGAGAAATTATTCACACACTTGTTGTTTACCCTTATATTCGGCTCAAAATTGGCAAAAATTGTTATTTTTTCCATTTTTCAAACGCCGATCGATTCATAATCGCATTTAAAAACATATTTTATACAATAATAAAAAGCTAAATGTATTTAATATGTTTCAAACTCTTCATGATTTATGTTTGTTATGATTTGACACTTGAATATAGCGATAGGTTTAGCGTCTATTTACTATATTATGTATATATAAGTAATACATTTAGTGACTTAATCTTTTATTAACTTTTAATATACCGGTCCTTCTTATCTGTTGTCTACGCCGACGGAGAGATTGAGTATAAGTGATGAATAAAATCTTGTTTTTATACAACTTTTTTAAAACCTGAAGTATATTTTCACTGAATTTATTGATGAGATATTTTATTGCATTGTCAATAATTTACAGAATTTTGTGTATTCCTTAATTCAGTACTTATTTTTATATATCTTTAATATAACTGTTTTTTGTGCCAATTTTAAAATTATTTGTTTTCTTGTTGCTTAATTAAGAAATAATTTTTACAAATTAAGATTATATTTTATTCCCCAAACAAAGACAGTTAGATTTTCTACATTAAATTTTTATGGTTTATATATCAAGATTAAAATATCATTACTAAAAAGTGTAAACTTCTAATTGTGTGTATAAAATGAAATTCTTTAATAATATAAATCTTATCTAAAAATTCAATTTTAGAAAATGAGATTTGATTTGAGATAACAAAAGAAAATTGTATTTCAATTTTGTCGTCAATTTTGCTAATAAATGATAGGAAAATAACTTCTTTTAAGAAACACTTGCAATCTTTAGATAATGCTAACAGAATATACTGTTTATTAATAGTATAACAATATTTGAGAAAAAGTTAATTCATAGCAAATATACTGTAATACTTTGCATTAAATTAGTTATTAGTAAATATTTTTCATTATATATCATATATTTCTTATTTTTTGGCGTCTCTTTCCATAAAAATTATTTTGTTTTTCTGATAAAATAAGTGAATTGCATGCAAAACAAGAATAGTTTGTATTATCCAACCATAATATTCTCTCTCATCCCTCCCCCAGAGGGTCATCATTACAAATGGATTCTTCATTACTTATAGTTTGGTCTTTGCATTGAATTTATATTATCGCACAAAAAAATATATTATAAATTTTTTCTGATAATAGCCTTCAGGGCATAGAAAACACAGTGTTTTTTAGTATTTTCCTAAATAGAAATTTATATCGCGTTTAACTTCTACTCTATATATACACTGTATATAAAGTATATATGAGTTTATATAACTTATAGCTAATGATAGGTTTGAAGCCATTGTGTAAAAACTCGATTCGTTTTACTGTTGTCTACAGTATTATTAGCCATTTGGCCCAACCATTCGGTCCAATCCATACGTACACTCAAAATCCTATATCCTTTTCAATCAATGCTAATAATGCAGACATTATTTTGTTGCAGAATATGCATAGAGAATATGCGTTTAGAGAAATGCTTGCCTTCATCTGTGGTTTGAATGTTCTCGTTATGGTATGTAATAAAACAGCGTTTTGTTGTTGTTATTATGAAATAACACTATAACATAAGGATCGAGATGTCATTAATGGCACGGAAAGCCATGTATTGCCGTTCAGTACAGGCGGTACCGATGAGGTGCGGCCGAGCGCTCGCTTCTCCCATACAATGAATGTCTAAATGTGTTGTAATGTCTGAAGACTTGCAGAACTAACTCTATTAATAGAGGGACACGTGTCTCGTATTATTCACAATAAACTTTCTCCTTAATAATCAATACTTTTCTTGCTTTTCATTTCAATTAAATTGTATATATTTTAATAGAAAAAAGTAAAATTACACAAAAATAGTAAAAAGATGTCCTGTTTTTATAAAAAAAAAGTTGTGTTGACTGACAGGCGTTGATAACAGTTGGATATTAAATAGAGACAGACTCGAAGGGTGGTCAGGATATGAGACACACATGAGCTCCGGTGGATAAGGAGGTAGAAGAGGAGGTAGAAGAGGAGACCAGTAGTAGTGGTTGTGATCGCAAAAAATAGAAACAGAATCAATGGATAAGCCTATAAAAGGGTCACATCTTAAGCCATAGAAGCCATTCAAACGGCTATTTTTTGATGAATTCCTCTTTTGTGTGACAATTGGTTCCGAAATTCTGCATTCAATGCACTAATCGTACGAACCATTGATAATCCGGTTTCAACTTTTTACTTAAATTTGAAGTAACAGTACTATTGATATGTTTTCGTCCTCTCTATCAATACCTATGTGTAAATCTGTTAGATTTTTGGCAGATTTCTACTCAAAATTATAATACTTTTTCAATATATTTATGGTTGAAATCACTTAAAAATAAGAAATGTTTTGTGTTTGAATCGATCTTTGATTAATCGACCAATAAATCAGTATTAAATCCTAAAATCTGAAACTTGAGATCTATTTACAGAAAAAAGCACAGAAATTATTATATTATACAGAATTTAATGCCTTTTAAAATCTGAGGTTAAATCAGGTTTAAGTGACAAAACATGTGACAACAAAATTGGATTAAAAATATCATATGATAACACAGAATTTTCTCAATTTTCAATGTTTGTAATAGAATTGTGTTGTTTTCAGTTTTTTAAAGTTTTTGTAATATAATTTCAATACAAATTTCACAGACCTATTGATTGAAATCAAACGGATTATAATTGTAAAGTAAGTCTCGGAAACTAAAAATAGAGAAAATTTTCTTATATTGTAAACATTTATGGCTACAAAACCGCACAAATATTCAACAATAACTTATTTTTGACAGAAAATGTCATTTCCCTTCATATCTGTGTATTATATTTCAGTCATTTTTTCATTTAGTCTTTTTTCTACAATTGAGACCTTTTTTATACTATTATTCTTAGAGTTGAATGCGATATATGGTTACAATATGTGAAGGTATGGGTGGACGGGTTGGACGAGGAGGTGGTTCGTCGGTTCGTCACTTCTCACTAACAAAACTAGTTTTCAATCAAAATATGAACAGTTAGTCGTCGACGGGTTGAAGGGTTGCGCGCAGTCTTTGAGTATAGATCTGGTGTTTGCGGAGACAATCGATCCCTTTATGTACTTTGAAGACCACAATAACATATGTCAAGACTGTATCACAATTTCAGTTATGTTTTCATATGTGACCCAAATATGTTATTTTTTGTGGCTTTTTTGTTGTGGTTATGACCGATAAGTTGTCCAAATTGGCCATATGTTGACTATGAGTGACTGCGCCCGTGTCTTCTGTTCACTACCTGTCCTCGCCTTATATGCCTGTCTATATGACCACTACCTCTCATAAACAATAACACGAGTCCACCAGCCCTTAGCCCTTCCAACAACTATACAATAACCAGAATTATCACAAAAAACTTGTTGAATGCGAGCACACAATAGATTGAAATCGCCGTATATTTGAAGTACTGTTACATACGGTTAACAGACAAACAAACAAACAATTTTGGAAATACGGTTCAAAATTGTGATACAATTCCGTTAATGTTTATCATTTGTGGTCAATATGTTATCATTTACCATAAAATCTATACTTTATTATTGAAACCAACCTTCAAAACAAGTTCAGTTCAGTTATACACTATAATAAACTTTTTTCATTTCTCAAACAATATCGTACAGAATCTTATATATGTTTAATTATTATTGTTTGAAACTATAAGAATAATCATAAGTCAAACTCATCAATAAAACTGAGATTTTAAACAATAATTAAAACGCGTTGAAAACCATTAGTTTTGGACGGAATTAGTCTTTTGTGAATATTACATGAATTATACAATCTGTAAGCTTTCATAACAATAGTTACCCTATTATTAGCCGTTTCCTAATACACATCCGCGTGTTTTCACTATCTATTCACCGTTTTTTCTCAAACTCAATGCTAATATTGATTACAAACTCAATTTAGAGGATTTGTGAACAAATTTGGGAAAAAATTGTTATTTTAAATGAGTTGTAAATAACTTTTTTGTTAATTTCATTACCCGTATGTGTGAGACGTCTATTAGTTTTGCGCAAAAATGTTTTTCAATAAACATATTGTTGAATCACTTTTGGTTTTTTCTTTGAGAACTTTTTTAGTCGTTTTCTTAACTCAATAAACATTGTATTGAGTCGTGAATCACATTCGGGGTCTCAATTCCCAGCCAACGGTGCGATTGAACAACAGTTGGGCTCTTATAGTGAATAACTGTCGCACAGAGAGTGCGGAGCGAAGAGAGTGGGAGACTGAGAGAGTGAGTGAGAGAAAGCTTTAAGTTTTTTAATAAAAAAGTTTTACCGCTATTTGGAAACCATTATCCGTTTCCCGTGAGTTAGAGAGAGAGAGAGAGAGAGAGAGAGAGAGAGAGGCAGTGGTTTTTTGCATAACGGATCGACTACTATACTAATGTATCCATCCTTTAGAGCAAATGGCAAACATTGTTGTCTATGAGTTTTCCTGTCTATCAATTGAATTGTCCCGTCCCTGACCCGTACCTCTAACTACTTTTACTAAATTTTGGT